CTCAAAGCGCTAGGATCTCCTACAGATAAATGGGATCACATCTTGGTGTACATGATTGTACAACGACTAGACCCAGAGACACACGAAGCATGGGAGATTCGTTACGGAGTCTCAACAGAACCCTCCACCCTAGAAGATCTTCAGACCTTCATCGAAGGTCGTATTCGAGCCCTGGAAAGTATTGAGTCACGAGCAACACCACCAAGCGATGTAACGGTAACTACACTACAATGTAAAGGTAAACCTCATCAAAATCTTAAAGTACATTCAGCACAAATTGTAGCAAAATCTCAGTCCAATATAGGAAATGATTGTCAACTGTGTAGTAAAGATCACTATTTAGCATTTTGCAAGGAGTTTCGTGAAAAAGTACCTAGTCAACGAAAAGAGGTTCTTGTGAACAAAAGATTATGTTTCAACTGTCTTGGTTCACATTTGTTAAAGGACTGTCACTCAAATAAATCTTGTTTACAATGTAAGAAAAGACATCACACTCTAATTCATGACGCTGTTAGCCAGACTACAAATATACCTCATATAAAAAAGTCAAGTTCTCTCATCCCTAACAAATTCATCTCATCTACAGATAACACATCATCAAGCTCACACGTCTCCTCTAATCACATGCTTCCATTTAAGGAAATTAATCGACAATCTGTGCTCCTAGCAACCGCTCAAGTTAAGGTAATTGGTCCTGAGGGAAATAGTGTTATTGCCAGAGCTTTAATCGACCAAGGATCTGAAATCTCTTTCATCAGTGAATACTTAGTACAAACTCTCAATCTGAAGCGTTCATACTCCTCAGTATCTCTTGTTGGTATCGGTGGACATCAAGCCCCAACCACTCGTGGTATAGTTTCAATCAATCTTAGTTCTCTGTATGATACCAAAGTTAGCTGCTCTTTATCTTGTCACATCCTTTCAAATCTCACATCAAATTTGCCATCGATAACACCAAATCATTCATCGTGGAATCATATAAAGGGACTTCAACTAGCTGATCCTGCCTTCATGAAGTCTGAATCTGTAGATTTAGTCCTAGGAGCAGACATCTACACGTCTATTATCCTTCCTGGTCTAATTAAAGGTCCACCCCTCTCCCCAGTAGCACAAGCAACAATTTTCGGTTGGATCTTGTCTGGACCTACTGGAATGACGGAAAATAAATCTACCTCATCAATGTTTCATTGCTTGATTGAAAACAAACTTGATGATTTTCTTCAAAAATTTTGGGTACAGGAAGAAATTCCTCAAATTAAAGAATCAGTCAAGTCTCCTGATGATCAAGTATGTGAGGAACATTATCAATCAACCTTTTCTAGAGAACCTTCCGGTCGCTATCAAGTCCGACTTCCCCTGAAGGAAACAGTCAATCAGCTTGGAGAATCTCAATCGTCAGCCTTTCAAATTTTAACAAAGCTAAATACTCGTCTCTCAAACGATCTTGAGTACAAAAACTTGTATACTAATTTCATAGAAGAATACAAGGACCTTGGTCACATGTCTGAAACTATTGAAGAAATAGATTCTACCATTCCCATATATTACCTACCTCATCATGGTGTTTTGCGTCCTTCTAGCACGACGACTAAATTAAGAGTAGTTTTCAATGCCTCATTCCCAACTAGTTCAGGATTATCTTTGAATGACGTACTCTACAGTGGTCCAAAACTCCAAACAGAACTACCTGATATTCTCACTTGGTTTAGGCGCTATAAATTCGTATTTGCCACTGATATCGAGAAAATGTATCGCCAGATTCTAGTACATCCTAGTGATCGAGATCTTCAAAGAATTCTCTGGATGGAAAATGGTCATCTTAGAAAATTTCAACTACAGACTGTTACATATGGGTTATCATGCGCTCCTTTTCTCGCCCTAAGAACAATGAATCAGCTTATCGTCGATCACGGTGATGCATATCCCCAAGCTAGTGAAATGTTGACAAGAGGGAGATATATGGATGACATTTTTGGTGGTGCAGACTCGATTGAAGAGTGCAGAGAAGTAGTAAAACAGACTGACGAGCTTTGCAAATTAGGTTGTTTTCCTTTACAGAAGTGGATCAGCAATGATCAAAATGTACTATCATACATATCGGAAAGTAATTGCGAAAAAGGCAATTCCTTATTGATAAACAAATCCTCCAGTATACGTACTCTTGGACTTACATGGAATCGATTCAGCGACGATTTTCAGTTTCTTCCTACTCTAAGTCCAAAAGACAAATGCACAAAAAGAAACGTTCTTTCTCAAATAGGTCAGTTATTCGATCCCTTGGGTTTTGTCTCTCCTATTATCATAAGGTTCAAACACTTCATGCAACAACTTTGGCTAGTAAAAATTCATTGGGACCAACTTTTACCTAATCACTTGCAAGACCAATGGAAACTCCTTGAAGCTGACCTACAATATTTGCCATTAGTTAAAGTACCTCGTTATCTTGGTCTTACCCAACTATCTTCGGTAGAAATTCATGGATTTTCAGATGCTTCTAAGCTTGCAATGAGTGCTGTAGTCTACCTAAGAATCGTTAATCGTGAAAATATCACTGTTAGTTTAGTTATTTCTAAAACTAAAGTAGCTCCTCTCAAGACAATGTCGATTCCTCGACTGGAACTCACTGCTGCTACACTACTAGTAAAACTTGTAAAGTATGTTCGGAAAATGCTCAACTTAGAATCTACCCAAGCATGGTTATGGACTGACTCTATGGTTTCCCTAACCTGGATCACAAATCAACCTTCAAAATGGAAAGACTTTGTGCGTAACAGAGTAAGTGTTATACAAGAGACAGAACCGCTCGCTAAGTGGAGGTATGTAGCAGGAAATGAAAATCCAGCCGACTGTGCTTCACGAGGTGTTACTGCTAAAATCCTTAGCAACCATAAGCTTTGGTGGACGGGTCCTCCGTGGCTGAATAAAGATGTTTATGAATGGCCATCCACGACGTTTGATCCAGCTCAAGCAGCGAAATCTGAACTGCGAATCCCTCAATCAACTTGCCACATTTTAAACTTTGAACCAGAACCAGAAATGCTAGAGCGCTTCTCAACACTGTCAAAACTATTACGTGTTACTGCCTGGTGTCAAAAGTTCATTGCCAAAACAAAAAAATCCATCCCTACTAATTGTCAATCTTTTTTAACTCCTCAAGATCTCAACTCATCCCTTTTGTTGTGGGTAAAACTCATTCAAAAACATGCCTTCAAAAATGAGCTTGCGCGGTTACAAAACAACAGACCTTTAGAAAAATCTAATCTTATAAGTCTTAACCCCTTTGTCGATAACACTGGTTTAATGAGAGTTGGAGGCAGACTTGAACAATCTTCATTAGAATATGATTCAAAGCATCCTTATATCCTTCCGAAGAATTCTAAGTTCTCAAAACTAGTGATAGATGATGCTCATCTCAGGACTCTGCATAGTGGCACCCGTTGTACACTTGCAACCGTTCGTCAGAAGTTCTGGGTTGTTGGAGGTAGACCTATCGTCAAACGAGAACTGTTAAAGTGTGTTACTTGTGCTCGTTATCGCTCTCAAAGAGCTCAACAATTAATGGGGCAGCTTCCTCCTACAAGAACATCACCATCACGTCCCTTTTTGCACTCTGGTGTAGATTACGCAGGCCCTTTTGTAATCAAAACATGGCATGGAAAGAGAGCAAAAACCTACAAAGGTTATATTGCGGTGTTCATCTGCTCGGCGACCTCAGCTATTCATCTAGAGTTGGTTTCCAACTACTCAGCAGAAGCCTTCATAGCGGCTTACAAACGATTCACCAGCCGTCGAGGCATCTGTGCTACTTTAACGAGTGACTGCGGGACAACATTTGTAGGAGCTGACAAAGAACTGAAAAGGTTGTTTTCATCGTCTTCAGCAGAATCAGGTCAACTCAAATCCCTGCTTGCTAATGATGGAACTGAATGGAAATTCAACCCTCCTGCTGCTCCACATTTTGGAGGTCATTGGGAAGCTGGTGTTAAATCAGTTAAATACCATCTCAAAAGAGTTATGAAGACCCACCTACTAACTTACGAAGAATTTTCGACAGTGCTGGTACAAATAGAAGCTGTACTCAATTCTCGCCCTCTCTGCCAGCTTACAGAAGATCCAGACGATCTAGCAATCCTAACCCCTGCGCACTTTTTAGTTGGCGAATCTTTAACTACTATCCCAGAACCTAATCAAGAAAACCAACCCACATCAAGACTTACTCGATGGAAATTAACTCGCCAAATGTTGGAATCATTTTGGAAGAAGTGGTCTCGGGAGTACCTTCAACAACTTCAAGCAATATACAAATGGAGATTTCCTTCCTGTTCAATAAAACTCGGATCAGTGGTTCTTGTTGTTGATGAGCAATTACCACCATCAAAGTGGCCGCTAGCAAGAGTGACTGAACTTCATCCAGGTCGTGATGGACTTACCCGAGTAGCCACTCTGAGAACATCAAGTACCTCATTGAAAAGACCAATAGTCAAGCTTTGTCCTCTTCCAATTGAAGTCAGTGATTAATATTTATTGCTCCTTCGGTGCAATGGGGGGGAGAATGTTTAAAGTTATTTTTTCTAATTCACTGTTTCTAACAGCTGGTCTTATTTTATATCATGTTTACTTTTTGTTCAGTTTAAAAGAAATACAGTCCACTAAAAACATCATCTAGTTTTTCTCTCTTAATTATCTATCTACATCTATCGTTCAATCTAAGTTTATCCATCAGTATCTAAATTCTTTAATCAAATACTGTATGTTTTATTCATAATGGAGTATGTTCAATTTTCAAAGGTTTGTGAGTCAATGAGGGAGTATCTCTGTGATAAATTTTGAAATTTGTCCTGTGAAAAACAATGTTTAGTCGTGAACAAGCACGTGCATCGAGAAAATAAACACATGCCCTACTTCAGTCTCAGTCTATAAGTATGTTTAATAAACTGTATGGCCATGCTGAGTAAGTCCCTGGTGGAAGGGAGAGCATGCAGTGCAGTGTACAATGTAGTCCCATAGTTGTGTTCCACAGTTCCAATGTTCCTGGTCCAGTATGATGCTGCATCTCCCAGGCGTCGGAGTGTTCCTACTCTGCGTTCTCTCTCACATACAAGGTATTGTTACGTCAGTCTACGAATAATTTTTGCATGATGCTATGATTTTAAAAATATAATTACATTCTCAGTCTAATCCTAGCATATAGGGGTGATTTTATATAAATAAAAATATGTTGTAGAGTAATGATATCCCGGCTGCAGCAAACCTGCAGACTAAATGAATTTCAATTTGTCTGATTAGATTTTTACTAAAATATTTCATGACCAAGTCATATTAATTCCCAATTAATAACCATTGGATTTAACGAGTACTTAAATTTCTGCTACAGGGAACGTGTTTTCTGATAAAATGTTAATAGTATAGGATAACATTTCTAAATATGCCAAATTGAAACAAAATATTTCCATAAACAAGCAAACTACAAAAGTTTCCTTTCCTCCATGAGAACAACTTAAAAATATATAAATTTTTATATACGGCTTTTTTTAACTTTCTCTAAAACATTTAATTTTACAACATAATACACATTTTTTTACACGATGGCTGTGTATGTTTTAAAGGTAAAAATGTGAAAAAATCTGAAAAAATTAATCACCTCGTTCCCATTACCCGATCTTGCTGGTTAGCGAACTCAATCAGGTTTATCCACCTGAAATAAATAACTTTCTTGCCGAATGTAACTAAAATCGGGCCATAATCAATAGAATTATAGTGTACCCGGACACTGGCTTAGACATAAATTTGAACGAATTGTGTTTTTGGCCTCTAGGGACATCAAAACGAAAAAGTAAATCAGTCCTGGGTCTAGCTTCTTCCATATAGGGGAATTTGCTCAAATATAGTAGGCCTAATTAAATCTATATATAACAAACACACCTTTTTCAAATTAAACGTTAAGTTAATTTATGCTGCCAATTATTCTGTATGGACAGGTGCCTGCCACCATAGACAAATAGAATCTGCCACATACCGCCACGGTTAGCAGTGCTAGATAAATTTTTGTAAAAAAGAAAATATGAACAGTTTTTTTGTTATTTTTTGTGGATCAATTGTACCTCGCCGACAAGTTATGTTAACTTTGCGAGGCCAAGCTGTTTTATTATCATAAATAAATAGATTTAAATTTCGAATTTGATTTTTTTAAGTACATACACCGGTGGTGCGGTGTAGTACATTATGATGATAAAATCAAGCTATAATTGTCTAATGCACCTCACTCCATTCAACTCTTCATTCACCAATGTTAGTGTTACTCAGCACTGAGCCTTTGTCTCAATGTTACAATATGAGACAATGATGTGGTTTCTGGTATATGGACGGACATATATGCCACAGTTTGTTTTCCAGAAGTGTCAAATCAGCATAACTTTTCCTCAGATAGATGATAGATAGATTTTAAGTTTAATCTCTATATCTATAGAATTTGTGATTTTTATTTGCATCGCAAAAGTCATTTGGTCTGTTTCGTCAATTGTTTTTACACTCTTTGCAAATAAATCACTGAACAAATTGAAATTAATTATTTAAACGAAGATTCCTCTAACATTAAAAATACTTAGCATAATATGGAATATATTCGTGAACATGGAAGCTGTAAGTAGTTGTTTAGAACATTACCCCAATCATAGTTTGTTGGAATTTGATCACGAAGCTGTATTTGCTTATAAATTTATAGTACTACCGACACAGAGAAGTATACATTTCGCTGATTTTACTCTCATGTAATGGTGTATCCAAGTAACAAACATTCAGTTCAATATTCGATTGACTCAAATTACAAAATCTACCATTTCATTTCTTCTACACCAACCACACAACTTTTGACCATTGTTGCCAGCTACTTTAGGCACTTGTGATGAAAAATACTATTAGTACTGTTGTATAATTGTATAATAGTCTCAGAGCGTTTTTTAAATTAATTTATTAATCACAAGTGCTTAGTGCGTTGTTTGAGTATACTTGCTAAAAATGAATACAGGACATTCGACGAACGCTCAGACCAATTACAAACTGCGTAAAGGAAAATTCGCTCTCTTAAACAAGCAGAGTTGTATTCGTAAGTAGGTAGGTCAGGCTGCAGCAGTGATAGACAATCAGAAAGACACGTGTCATTTTCATAACAAAGCAGAATCACATTCATTAATTTTAACGGGTGATTGTTGGACAGAGGGCGTTAGTTGGTCTGTCACAATCAGCTGTTTATTATGTTCTTCTGCGTTGTAACCTCCAGCCTAGTAGGATATATGGTTGTAATTAAATAAATACAAATTATTGTACAGTTAGTATTACAGCTGATTAAACGTGTCAATTAATACACGAAAACAGATTCACAAGTTTCTTAAACCCATACCATATTCTTCATATCTCCAGGTTCTTAGACTACCTAGGCTATGCGTGTGTAAAACTTTTGCTCAGTTACACAAATAAGAACATCTGTTTTGTAGCTAATTGTTGTACTGTATACACAACCAATTACGATAGTTAACATATGTTCTCAGTTGTTGGATTGCCGAGTTTATATAAGTTTATATAAGTGTATCCCGTATTTAGCAAAGAACAAAAAAACACTCTATAACATGACAGAAGCACACTTTAGAATTCTTAGAGCCTCTTAGAGAAGGTTATGGTTTTAGAAAATTTTGCCTAAATCATTACCTTCATTACCTTCTCTAAGAGGCTATTAAATTATTGATAAGGGTGATAAATTGGTAGAAGGTTTAGGTATAATATGTGGTATATGTATAATCTTCATGGCTCAACATTCCTAGATACCAAATACATGTTTTTTAAACTTTATTTTATTTTAAAATCTGTCCAGTACTGTGAACAATCTGTAAAAGGTATAATATAATTAAGTGACTTGACCAAGAATCTCCCCAGTGAAAGATCTTGCAAAAAATAAATAGTCATGTCATGTAACTATAACTATACAAATCGGTATGGGAGTTCAAGAACTTTAACAATTTTCAGTCTGTTGGGAAATTCACTGTTTCCCAGCAAGTTTACGGCTATATTGTTTGGGTGGGTTTCGAGTTTTTCTTGATATTTCTTGCTAATTCTTGTTATTTCTTCAATCACTGTAGGTATTTTGAAATCTTCATGGATTGTTTGATTCGAAATTACATGTTAAAGAGTAAAAACGTGAAATACATTTTAGCTTAATTTATAAAAGTCCACATTTAAAAATTATTGTTATCATAAACATATTGTCATAGCGACGAGTGGCAGATTTCGTGCAGTTTGAAAAACAATAACTTGTTGTTGATGTCACTCAGATCTTTAAGTTATGATTTAGACTATTGTATAGACACCACGACACTTCACAGATGCAATGATAGTCTGTGGAAGATGCTGTACCAAGAGCGAACTTAGTTATTTCTCGACTAGGCAGACGACAAACACTCGTATACAAGGGGAGCAGTATTTTAAGTAGAATGAGTTATAAATATTTCATTAAGTGCGACCAAGAACGGCCTTCACCTTACAGTGAGGGCGGTCTCGGGTCTCCGTCGTAAGCTGGAGTACGGAGTACAGAACTGTCCGTGGACAAAGTTGTGACTGTACCTGGCAATGGACAGCCAGGCTAAGTCAAAGCTGAATGTGATGTGCTGATGTAAAACGTGTGGAAAAGTGATCCGCGATTAAGGTAGAAACAGATTTTGGGGAAGGAAAAATCATTCTTTGCTGGTTTTTGCATATTTAAAGCTGAATAAAAATTAAATAAGAGTAGATTCGTCATAATATTGTAAAAACGTATGATAGTTTTAGATGTATTCATATTAGTGGCGTTCGAGAGCGCTTATTCAGTTAATTTTAGGCCAGAGTCCATAATTGATTTGTGCTTTACTCTCTGGTCATAATCAGCGAACACAGAATAAAAAAATGGTCATAATGCGATACGACAATAAATACTTTGTAAATAAGTAGTTTTATTTTTTTAGGTTTGGTAAAATATTTAGAAAACAAATAGTTAACTATCTATAACTACCCACATGAATAGAACTAACCTTTCAACTCTTCAGCTGACCCATAAACAGTTTTGTATGGTTTTCTGTTTTAATATTCGTGGGTGGAACCATAGATAAAACATGTTTTATCTATGGTGGAACGGATTAAGATGCATTAGGTAGTCTCAACGCTCACATAGACGAACTGGTTGGTAAACCAGCTATTGTTATGGTTTCCTTTTAATTTATGATCAGAAGGGAGAGGTGTACTTTCAATATACAAACTCCAAATCCAATGGTTGAAGTTGAAGGTTGAACTCCCAACATTTGCTAGAGGGGTGAAGACAGCGCGCCGGGTGACCAATTGCTCAACTAAACTAACAGCTGTTGAACACTTTCATCTCACCGCGTTATTAAATTAGCGTTTTCCAGAGGTCAAGACTTTGGAGATGTTTAATTGCTTACTCAATCAAGGCGCACACCCTCCCACTACATTAATAGCTTTTTGATTAGTCTACACTCGTGAGAATAAAGAGGCTTCGGAAAATGTTTTTGTCTCTGGGAAAACTTATCCCGGAAATATTTTGATTTTAGAGATTTGAACATTTAGAGGGAAGGGTACGGACCCCTCTTATCTGAGTGACAGCTTTACGTTTAGCCTAGTTCGCAATATTATACCCATGAGAGCCCGCAAGAGGAAGGAGGCCAGGTCCCACCGAAGGAAAATGTAAAATAAAAAGTTAACTAATATTGTACTGCTTTAGACTTTTTCACGTTGATAATGATTAGTTCTAACTTTTAAAAACAGTTTCAGAAAAAATAAGTACATTCAAAACTTATTGAAAGACTACAATAAAAACTGTTAGACTGATCAAACATATTTTTGAAGCGATTTCTTTTATAAATTTGGTTGCAAGGTAAAACCTTTTCCTCGACGACTGGAACAAGATAGCATTGGCTCCTGAAAACCCCCGTTATCACCCTTGAACCAACCGAAATAATCAAAAAACCCAACTTCAAAACAATTTCGAGCAAACTAGAGTATATTTCTCTATCCGGAACATTTATGTTTGGTAATAACAATTCTACTACGCAATAAAAAGACGATT